ACCCCAACCCCAACCCCAACCCCAACCCCAACCCCAACCCCAACCCCAACCCCAACCCCAACCCCAACCCCAACCCCAACCCCAACCCCAACCCCAACCCCAAAAAACAACCCAAACCCCTCAAAAAAAATGTAGTAAAAATAACCATAAACACAACCTAAATATATCATAATTAATATTTGTAAATATATTATTTTATTTTTTGATAATTTTTCATTTTCATGTTATTTTTATTTTTTAGTTTTTATTATATTTATTAATATTATTATTATTATTATTATTATTATTATTATTATTATTATTATTATTATATTTTTAATATTTTAAATATTATAAATATTATTACTATATTTATATATAATATTTTTTAATAAAATTTTCTTTATTTTTACTAATTTTTTTTTTTTATTTTTTTTTTATATAATTTGAATTTATATTTTTTTTATTTTTATTTTCTTTTAATTATACAAATATACCTTATATTTATGATTTTATTTTTATATCTAATAAAAAAGGTTTAATATTTTATTTTATTATTATATTTTATATTTATTTTTGTTTAATATTTTTTAATTACTAAAATTATATTTATATTAATTTTTTTTCAATAAAACAAACAGAATTAATGATTTAACATAAAATAAGATTAATAATTATTAAAATCATATCATTTATTTAACAAATATCAATAAATAACATTTTATACTTATAAATATTTATTTTATTATTATAAATTTTAGTAATTAAAATAAAGAAAATATAAATTAATTAATATATATTTTTTTATTACTATTTAACTATTTATTATGATTTTAAATTAAAAAATATTAAATATATATTAGATTTATTATATATTTATATATTATAAAATTTTAATAATTTTATTTAATTAATTTTATTGATAATATTTATTATATTATTTATATATTAATAATATATAAAAAATATTTAATTATTCAATATAATTATTTATAATCTTTTTTGTATTTGATATTTAATATAAATAAAAATTTTTGTAAATATATTATAGTTTAAATTATCTTGTTTCTATAATAATTTAATGTTTGAATTTTTATAATAATAATTTATTATTTTATCAAAAAATATAATTTTTTATAATTATATAATAAATAATATAATTATTTATATTTTTATATATTTTATTTATAATGTTTTTTTAAGTTTTTATATATAATTTTTACTTTTAATTTAAAAATAATAATATAATTTTGTATAAAATACAAGATTTTCGTTTTTTATTTAAAAAAATAAATATATTCTTAATTATTATTTATTCATATTTATTTTATTTTTTTTGATTTTAACATTAATTATCTTTAATCTTAATTATTTCCTTCCTTTTAAAATTATTAAATCCCACTTAAATGTGTACTATTTGCTAAATTATTATTTTTTTCAATCATATTTTTATAATGTTATCTTGTTTATTTTCTAAATAATATATATTATAACAAAATTTTAATATTTAAAAATATACCTGACTTAAGAAATTTATTTATCAACCTATTAAATTAAAATATGAGATGGAACTGAGGGCTTTGCATCTAGTTTTGGGTTTTTTAATTAATTTTATTATTTTTATTTTTTCTATATCATATTTTAGGTTTCCATAATCAATTACCTTATTAATTAATCAGTTTAAAAATGAAAATTTTACATGTTAACTTATTTATTGTTATTTTAAATGTTTTATTATTAATTATATTATTACTATTAATTCTAATATTATGAACCCTTATTTTCAATGATTTATCTTCTTAAATTTAAAAATTCTATTTTTTTAAGACGGTCAATAATATTTTAATCGTTTTCATTTTTTTCAGTTAATTTATTTTATGCTAATTTTACTAATTCTTATTTGTATTCTTTATTTTATTAAACTTTTTCTTTTACATTAATCTAACTAGAATGAAGAAAGGCTTAATTTTAAACTTTTAAATTTAATTAAAACCTATTTACCATTTAAAAACAATCCTTAGATGATTATGAATCAAAAGATTTTTATATTTTTAAATTATTCAGGAACATTTTTTTAATATTTATTATATTTATTAATGTTTATAATTCAAATTTATTTGCTTTTTCCTTTTTCTATTCATATTCTATAGTTTTTATTAATTCTTCGAAATTATTCATTGAATTTAGATTTTATAAATTTTTTTTAACTAATTATTACGTAAAATTATCCAAATTATATAAACTTTGATGACTTTTTTATTTCTCATCTTTTTTTTTAGAAAAATCAAATTCTTCTTTTTGAATATTTACTTAAGAAAAATTAATAGAAGATTTATTAAAATTATTCTTTCTTAATTTACTCTTCACAAAAAATTACAATCGAGGTGAATTGTTTTACCTTTTAGATTAATTCATTAATTTTTTTTTGGTATAAAGACTATTATCTGAATTATTAACTTTCTTGTTTTTTATATAAAGACTTTCATTCTTATTAGATAATAAAAAAGTATTAATACATTAACTTTCTGACCTATTCTTTTAATTTAATATATAATTATTTGTTTGCAACAATTCATTATTTTATTCTTTTTTTTTTTTCCTTCAGTATATAATAAAGTATTTTATTCTGTCTTATATTCTTGTGTATTTGTAAAAGAATGATTTTGATGAATTTCTGGTTTTTCCATTTTTATTATACATTTAGAACTATTAAATAATTAAAAATTATATTTCGAATAGAAAAATTCATTAATGAAATTATTTTGGGTACAGATTTAAAAATCTTCATTTTTATTATTATCTATTACATGTTGTTGTAAACTCTTTCTTTCATTGATAAAAAATTTCATTAAAATTTAATTTATTTCACCTGTTTCTTAAATTAGCACATTATACTATATTTATTTTTTTTTTTTAAAAAAATCTATTTACTTTTTCCAATATTTATTTTTAAATAGTTAATATTTTTTTCTTGATTTCTTAATTATCTTTTATAAATAATTAAATAAGCCACTCCATTAAATTAATAGTTTCGTTTAAACGAGAAATATTAAATTCTTGCTCATAAATAATACACATTAAATTTAAAAGCATTATTGCTTTTTATATCTTTTTTTTAATTAGTAAAAAATAATATTAATACAATTCTTTTACTTTATCTTTTAATAAAAATTCAACTTTTTTATTTTTTGTTAATCTTATTATTTTTAAGATTATTATCTTTTTATTTATAATAATATTTGTTTTTATATTGATTAAAAAGCTTATTCAGCATATTTTAAAGAAAAATGAAAATTTTCAAATTCAACATATTTTTTAGTTGTTTATATAAATAGTTCAAAGATATAACTTTAAAATTATATATTCTTTTATTTAAATTAATTTATAATATTTTTTTATTCATACTTTAATAAGTTTAAACTCTTAGTTATTAATAAAATTTATAGCGAAATTCGAAAAATATATAGAATTTTTAATATCATTATTACTATTTTTTTTAATATAAATTTATTATAAATATAATTTATATATTTTTACATTTTATAATACACAGACCAATTATTGCAAAGTAGAATAACAAACTTCAAATATTCTTCAAAATAAAACATATCTTAAATAAAATTAAATATAATTTTTATTTAAATAAATTATTTTTTTACATTTTTTATCAGAAAGTATGTTTTTTACTTATTTTTTAATATTTTATTTATTAACTTCATCAAAATCAATGGTATTTTGTTTATTTTAACCTGAACAGCAATCAGAAAAAGTAAAAGGAACTGATTAATTTTTTTTCAGTATTTATTAATCGTTTTAATTTTCTTCAAACTAATTATTCTTTCCTTAATTTTAAATTTAGTTTAAATTATTATAATAATCATTTAAAATAATTGATATTTTAACTAATATTTTATAAAAATTTGTTTTTCCTAATATTTAATTCTAATTTAAATATCTCTCAAGTATTTTAAAACCAGAATAAATAAACCTTCTTCCTAATTTTAAAAATGAATCATTTTCAACTTCGATTTATAAAACTTTTTAATTATTCAAAAATTTTTCAATCCTACAGAATGCTTTTCTATATTATTTCTTTATATATATTTTTAATTGAAAATGTTTTTTTTATTTAAAAAAAACGGATTTTATTAGTTATTTTGTTTCTTTAGAATAATATTCTATTTAGAAGTTTTTTTGTCTTTAAGAATTGCGATTTTAATTTGTAAGGGTACATAATAAGTTATAGTTAGCATTTAACATTATTTATTTAATATGTATGATTTTTTATATAATTTGATACTAAAAGATATTGAGTTTATTAATTAAGTAAATATTAATTAATAAAAATTATTGATTATTTTTTTAATTATTAAAAAATAAAATAAAAAATTAAATAGATAATTAATATAAAATTTTAAAAAATATAAAATAAAATTAAAAAAAATAAGTATTTTATAAAGTATTTTAATTTGGTATATATATAAAAAAAAACAAAAATAAAAAAAATATATAAATATATATATATATATATATATATATATATATTTTTATATATATATATATATTTTATTTTTATTTATTTTAATTTTTTATACCTTAATTCAATGTTTCAAATAAATTTTGAATATTTTAAATGACTTAGATAGGTTTCAATTTCTTATTATGAAAATTATCCATTATGCCCACATTATAAACATAAAATATCTCCTATAATTCTATTGTATTTTATTTCTTCTTAAAAGTTTTAATGTTTTATTTCACTATTTGCTATAGTTTCTTTATATTTTTTATTCAAATATTTTTTTATAATTTAGAAATTATTTCTAATTAATTACAAATCTTATATTATCTTCGAAATATTCATAAAAAAAAAATGCAAATATAAATAATACATTATTAAAAATTTCGAGATTATTTTCTTATTCAAATCTTTATACTTGTATCAAATTTTTTATTTTTTAATTAAACTCCTTGAGTTTTTCCTTTTTTATATAAAAAATAAATTATAATCAAAACATATTATATAATTTTACTTACAATAGTATATTTTTTATTACTTTTGTAATCTTATTTTTTTTTTTCAAAGGTACATTGCAACCCCAGATTTACAAATTTAAAATAAATAGCTTTTATAAAAAATAATATTATTTTCATTATTTATACACATATATATTTAAAATACTTAAAGAACAGTATATTAATTAGCCCAATTTTTCAAAAACACGTCAAATAAGGTCAGACCTCCTGAATCCAAAAAAATAAGAATATTAAAAATTTAAACAATGAATTCTTAGAATTACTTATTTCTTTTATATTTATCTGGAATATTATTAAAATAACTTGAATTTAAGTTATTAATATATAGAATATTAGAATTATCATCTTCTTAATCTTGAATTAAAATTCCATTTTCCATAATAGAATTTGTTTGCATTTAACTTTTTTTTTATTCTTTCATTTCTTTTTCTTCAAATTAAATAATATTTTTTTTATCGTAAACATCAATTATTGAAATAACTGTAATAAAAATATTAACCAAAGACTTATGAAGCTCCTTGTATTATTTAATCGAAAAAAACTATTAAATAGCTTCATCTAAATTAAACATTTTATTATTTTTTTAAACAACTTATTTAATAATTCCATTTTTCAAAGAAGCCATATAAGGAATAATATTATCATTTACATCATAAGTAATTATTTTATAACAATTGCTATCTGAATAATTTTTTGGTGACCAAATATCCAAATCTTTAGCCAAAATTTTTATTAAAAATTTAGTCCATTTAGCAAATCCAAAATATGCAATATCAGAAATACATGAAAAAGTACGGTCAGCACATAAAAAATCTAGTTTTACTTTTTAAGCTAAATAACAAGAAATCATACCGCCTAGACTTTGCCCGTGTGTACCTATTTTATTTAGTTTTTCTTCTTCTCTAAGGTATTTTATTATTATTTCTCCATCTGAAAATATATCTTTTGGGTTTGGATTTCCTTATGAAAAACCATATCCACGGTAATTCCAAAGCATTAAATTCATTCCTTTTTAAGTATAAAATTCTATCCATTAACTCTTTATATATATTAATGATATATAATATATATATATATATATATATATATATATATATTTATATAAATATATGTATTTAAATTTAGATTTTTACATCGAAATATAAAGTCTCGTAATATCCTGCGTTTGGATTACAATATAATATAGTTGGATTACATTAATTATTTTAGCTGTTTTCTATATCTTATTTATCACCATATATTAGCATACTTTGTTATTTTATATTTATAAATAAATAAAAAATTTACCAATCAATTAATTTATTATCTTTTGATTTCAAATTTATTTATTTTATTTTAAATTATATTTCTAATTAAGCTTTCATCTTTATATTTTTTGTTATAAAATAATTCATATATTTATAAATTACTAAATTTAACGAAGAATAAGCAGAAATATTAAATCTATTTAAAATTAAAGTAAAATAACTAGGACTTTTAATAAATTCGTCTATTTAATACTTATATTTTAATAATTTTTTTTTTATCTAATGTAAAAAAATACTTATATATTATTAATTTGATCAATTATTTATTTTCCTAATGATATATCTTAAAACAAAGAGTTTTCTCCTAAAAAAATATAAATATTTATCTCTTATAATTTACATAAATTATTAACTTAACAAAAATATTTATAATAATAAAGATGGTTATTATATAAGATTATACATATTAAATTTGTTTAATGCTTAATTATTAGAATGTATAAAAGTTTTTTTTAATAACTCCTATACTTTTTAAATATTTCTAAAAAATTTTAATTAGACTTTATTTAAAGTAAATTTTTAATTCATTTTATTATAAACTTATAATTAATTATTAATAAAATCATAGACTTAATATATATCGGATTGTTTAATATCTTGCATTTAAATAACATTATCATCAACTATAAATTATATTATATCCTTTAGTATATTTAATTTTTGATAAAATAATTTTCCAAAATACTTATTAAAATAAATTTCATTTTAAGCTTTAAATATTTTAAATGAACCAGGAAATAATAAAATTCTAATTACTATCTTAATACATAAAAATAAAGATATTAAAATAATCTTTTAAATTTAATTTTTGTTATTTATTTAAAAAAATTTTAAATATATATATTTGTATTCTTTTTTTTACTGATAAAGATATAATAAAATTAAAAACTAAATTTAAAACAAAAAATATTATAGATATGGCAGTCGATAAAAGTATAAAAGCTATTATTAATTTCACTATTTAAGATTATAAGAACGATTAATTCATATTTAAAATGCAAGTATAATTATTGATAATATATTATTATTTTATTTTTATTTTTTATAAAAATAAACTAAAATTACATATAATTAGTTAATATTATTTATTATATAAAATAAAATTCATAAAATACTTAATTTACATTTTTATATATAATATTTTATATCTTTTTGTAGATCTTTAATTTTTTTGAATTTTAAAAAAAAATTAATTTTTATAAAAAATGTATAATAATGTAGAAAATATAAAAGTTTTAATTAAAATTCGAAGTGATGAAAAAAATGATAATGGCAAATAAGTAAATAAAAATATATAAAATTTTTAGTATAATATAATTTAGGAATAATAAATATAAATTTAATAAAATCAAATATCATTTAAAAAACAAAATAATTAATAAAACTATAATAATTTTTCATTTGAATTTGATTAAATCATAAATTTAATAAGCTAGAAAGATTTTTATAATTAATACATAAAATAAACCATTGATTAATTGTATATATAATAAAAAAAATAAAAATAAAAATAAAAATAAAAATAAAAAAAAAAATAGTATTGAAGGTTTTAGTAATACAATAATATTATATGGTTCACGTTAATCGGGAAAAACATACACTATTTTAGGCGATTCTTAATCTTTAAGTAATTTAATTGATTAAACTTCCTATTCTGAAAATGATGGTATTATTTAAAGATGTATTTATGAAATAATTGAAAATTTAAAATAAAAAAATATAAATTATTAATTATAATTAAGTTATTTAGAATTATATAATGAAGAAGTAATTGATTTACTAACAAATTTAAAAAATTTAAAAATAAAATATTATCCTAAGCTAGGAATAACTATATAAAATATGAAAGAATAATAAATAAATTCAGCAAACGAAATATTTAAATACATAAAAGAAGGTTAAACCAATAAAAAGAATTCTATGTATTAAGGGCACAATATTTTAATTATAAAATTAATAATAAATCCTTAAACAGAAAATGTAAAAATCTGCAAATTATAAATTATTGAAATTGCAAATTAAGAAAAATCAACATAATAAAGCAGTATAGAAAAATAAAATTTAGGAATTTTAGAACTATCAAATTACGTTAATGAATTATTTGAATTATAATAAAATCCAACTTAAAAATAATAGGTGATTTTTTAAAAAAATAAAAATAAAAAAAATAGGTTTCTTTTAGAAATTCTAAATTAACTAAAATTTTGTAAGAAAGTTTGTTTGGAAATTTGTAGACTCTTTTAATATGTACAATAAGATAAAATAATAAAGATATAGATGAAACGTTAGAAACTTTAAGATTTGCTGAAAAAATAAAATAATTAAAAAGCCCTAAAGTTTAATTAGAAAATTATTTATATAAATATAAATATGAAAAACTTAAAAAAAAATCAAAAGCAAAATTAAATTAATTAGAAAAATCAAATAAGGAATATGAACAATTATTAAGTAAACTTTAACTTTAATATTTATTAAATAGAACAGAATAATCAGATGAAGCATTAAAATGTTTTATTTTTGTTTTTATTTTTATTTTATTTAAATTTTTTGAAAAAAAAAGATTTAGTAAAGGAGGAAGAAGCAATATGTTAAAATTAATAATGTTAAAAAAATCTTTAAGTTTTAGAATTTCTGAAATCGGTTTTATAAGTAAATGAAAATTTATAAAAAGAATAATTTGAAAAAAATTCTGAGAATGAGAAATTTCAAGATTTTAGCACAGACGAAAAATATATTCAATATTAATAATATTTAATCTAAACTTTTGAATAAGAAAGTCTAGATAATTCAAAAGATCATAAAAACATAATCGATAAAATATAAGATATGATGTAAAAAATGAAAAATGAAGAATAATTAACATTATATATACAATAAAAAGATAATCTAATTGGTTATTCTTAAAACTATTTAATATAAACTGATGAAAACTCTAAGATATAGTAAATAAATAGTTTAAATATCTTTCTTTTTATTATTTTAATAGATTTGATAAAATAATTTTAAATCTTAATTAGATAAAATTGAGATTAAGATAAAGGTAATAAATAAAAATGACATACAAAAAAAAATTGTTAGAAAGTTAATTATTTTTATTATTAAAAACAATAAAATAATCTATATATTTTATATATAAGAATAAATGTATTTATATAAATATTTATATAATTATTTTTTAAATAATAAATAAAATTATAATATTTTAATTATTTAATAAAATCATTTATATTTAAAATATTTAATTTAAAATTTAAAAATAAAATTAATTTTTATAAAAAAATATTAAATTTAAATAATATATTATGAATATTATATATTATATATTTTATAAAAATAATATATCTATCAATTATAAACTATTTATTTTTTAAATTTTTTTTATTTAAAAATATCTTTAAAATGATAAATATTTTATAAAATAGAATAACTATTATAAATATCACAATATCACTAATAAATATTATAAGACTAAAAATATTATAATAATATATATTATTTATTTAATTTTTTAAATAATAATTAAATATAAAATATAAATTATACACTTAAATACAAACGTAAATTAAATAATAATATTTAAATGTATTCAATTTTAAATTACGAAAGCAATATATCTTAATTTTTATCATTAGTATTTGACTTATATTAGAATTGCTCGGTTAATTTAGAATAAAAAGAAATTCTAAAAGGTTTTTATATAATAAAAATTTAGTATAATTATTAAATAGATATGATTATAAATAGAAATGAAAGGCTTCTTAGTTTATTAATAAGTTACTTAATAATGCATAAAAATATAAATATATTAATAGAATAAATAATTTTATTAATAGGTATATTTATTTAATTTATTATTTTATAAAAAATTATCTCAATAATTTAAAGAACAAGAAACATAAATATTAAGTTCGGAATTTCAAAATTCAAAATAATAAAATGATACCTTTGAATTAAATACAACAAAAGAAAGTTCTCCTGAAAAACAATAAAAAAACTTTAATTTTTAAAATAACTTTTCTATAAAAAATCAATTATTTGTTGTTTAGCATTTTATAGATGAAGATGTATAATTGAAAAATATTTTGTTTTTGTTTTTTAATTACAAAAAAAGAGTTCATCACCTTTAGGATAATATTTAAATGAAAATAAAAAAAAACGATTTAGACTAAGAAAAAATACTGATATTTTAAAACCATATAAATATGGAAATAATTACCAAGTAAATTAATATACATATTAAAAATATAAAAAAAAAGGAAGAATCAACATCTCCATTAGGAACATTTTTAAATGAAAAAAAAAAACTATAAAAAAGAAGTACAAAAGAAGATAAATAAATTTATTAAAAATGATAGAATAATATAATAAATAAAAAAAAAAAAATTTATAAATTTTTATATTATACATCATATAATTTTATAAATAAATTTAACAAAAAAAATAAAAATAATATATATGAATATATATATATATATATTTATTTTTATATATATTTATATATATTTTATATTTATAATCATATTATTTTTTTTATTTTTTTTTTTTTAAAACATAATTATTATTATTATTTTTTTTATTATTTTTTTTTAATTATAATTTATTTTTTGTATTTAACTTTTAATTTTTTTTATATATATTTATTGGATAACATATAACTATATTTATCTATATTTTTTTAATTATATGTTTATATTTATTTAAATTATTAATAAAACAATGTATAATATTTTTATTTTTCATATATATATATTATTTGATACAATTTTTTTTTTATAATAAAGAAGTAAATTTAATGCAATATTTTAAAAAACTCAATCAATATTAAGTATAAAATTTTGATTTTATATTTAATTAGTAATTTCATTTATTTATTTTTATCTGTTTTTTATATTTTTTACAGGCCTATAATATTTATAATATTTTTCTTAAATTCATTTAAATAAGATAATAAGATATATTATATAAATTATATGTGTATTTTAGTATTTATTTTAAAAAATTTCTTTTACATTATAATTAATCATTCCTAATTATATTATAATTTTAAAAATATAAATATTTTAAAATTAATTTATAATAACTTCTAAGGATAGTAAATAATAATCTTATTTTTTGTTCACTTATACTATTTTAAATATTTCATTTAAAAATATTAAATAATCTTTAGTAAAAAGTAATTAAAAATATTTATTTTTAATTATTATAACTAAAATATAAATATATATCATATTTTAAAAAAATACCACTAAAAAAAAAAAATATAATAATATATATATATATATATATATATATATATTTATATTAATAGTTTTCTATAAATATATTTATTTATTATAGAAAATTAATAAAAAGATATTTTTTATATTATTTTATTTTATTTTTTATATTAATTAAATATTTATATTTTTATAAAATAATGGAAAATACAATTAAGTATTATTAAACATTTAAATATCAAATATTATTATCTAATTATCCTAAAATTTAAGAATATTTAAATAAGATAAAATCCTTTTCTATAAAACACAATTTTACTGAATTTGACATGCTTTTATTTATATTAGTTGGATTATTTTTAGTTTATAAAATATTCTAATTAATGTTAATAGCAATAAAATATATTTTTTATAATTAAAGGTATTCTTTTAAATCCTTAATTTTCTAATTTGCCTTTAATAAAATTTCATTATCTAAAGAATATCTAGAAATAAAAAAAAAAAAAATTGAGAAACAAATTATGGAATCACTTGATAAAAATACAGACAAAAAATAATATAAACTACAATTAAAAGGAATGAAAATAGGAAGCCTTCAAAAAAGAAAAGAAGAATTTATTGAAAGAGATAAATCCTTTTCAAATTTAAGTAATGAATCAGGTTCAAAATTTTCTTTAGATGATGATTTTGAGAAAAATTTAAAAAACTTCGCTAGTAAAAAAAAATTAAAAAATTTAAAAATTAAAAAATTAGAGGAATTTTAATATCATAATCCTTTACATTATGATATTTTCCCGGCATCAAGATAAATGGAAGCCGAATTAATAAGTATGACATGTAATTTGTTTGGAAATGAAAATGCCTTTGGAATTGTAACTTAAGGAGAAACAGAAAGTATATTAATGTGTGTTTTATCTCATAGAAATTATGCGTTAAAATATAAAAATATAAAGAAACCTAATATGTAAATTATAAATATATTTATTTATGTATATATATATATATATATATATATATATATATATATATATATATATATACATATATATCCATATATCCATATATATCCATATATATCCATATATATCCATATATATCCATATATATCCATATATATCCATATATATCCATATATATCCATATATATCCATATATATCCATATATATCCATATATATCCATATATATCCATATATATCCATATATATCCATATATATCCATATATATCCATATATATCCATATATATCCATATATATCCATATATATCCATATATATCCATATATTAATATATATCCTTATATATTCTTATATATCTATTTATATCCATATATATCCATATATTAATATATATCCTTATATATTCTTATATATCTATTTATATCCATATATATCCATATATATATACATATATATTTATAAAAAAAAAAAATTATATATATTTATATTTTTATATATAAATATATGTATAAAAATATACATATATATTTTATTATTTTTATTGTTACAAATAAAATTATATATATATATAAATATATATATATATATATATATATATATATATATATATATATTCTCTATAATTTAGAATTATTCCTGTTACAGCTAATTCTGCTTTTTTTAATGCTTGTAAACATCTTAATGTTGATTGTATAAAAATACCGGTAGATTCTAATTCTATTGTTGATATGAAATTACTTTAAAAAAGTATTAATTTTAATACAATAATGGTAATTTTTATATTAATAAAATATAAATAATTAATAAATAAAAATACATTTTTTATTTATTTATTAAAATTAATATAATTGAATATAGTTAGTAGGTTCTGTCCCTAGTTTTCCTCACGGAATAGTTGATCATATACCTGATTTAGCTAAACTTGCGATTAAATACGAAATAGGACTCCATGTAGACTGTTGTTTAGGTAGTTTTGTAGTAGCTTTTTCAAAAGATATATCATTAAATATCCCTTAATTTGATTTTACATTAGATGGTGTTACATCTATAAGTTGTGATTATGATAAATATGGCTTGGCCCCTAAAGGAGTATCCATATGTATGTTTAAGACCTTAGAATTAAGACATTGCTGCTATACATCCGTAATTGATTGGCCTGGTGGTTTTTATACAACCCCAAGTGCTGCTGGTTCTAAATCTGGTGCACCTATAGCAGGTGCTTGGTACGCTATGCAGTATTTTGGAAGAGAAGGATATGTTTAATTGGCCAAAAATATTAGTCAAACATTAGTTGAATTAACTAATTTTGTAAGAAAAACTCCTGAATTATAGGAAATCGATATTTTAGGAAATCCTAAAGTATGCTCATTTGCAATTATTTATAAAAAAGGAGTTAAAAAAAATATTTATCATTTAGAAGGTGCAATGAGTAAAAAAGGATGGACTTTAACAGGTATATAATTACCACCAGCTATAAATGTCTCAGTTACTCATGCTATTTTTGCTAATTCAAAGTAATTTTGTTAGGATTTGAAATAATCAGCCATTGAAGTATATTTATATATACAGATACATATGCTTATGTATATATTATTTTATCTTTTTAGGTTAGTTAGAATCCTCAATAATTTGAAAATAGTTTAAGTGCTTTGATTTATGGAGCAAGTTCAAAAATACATAATTCTAGTGTTTTAAATAAATTTTTAGATATATCAATAGATTGTTTTTTAAAACTTTGATATTTTTTTTATAAAAATAATTATTTTATTATATCTTTTATATTATTATTTTATTTAAAAAAAATTAAATTTTTAAATTTTTTTTTTAAATAAATTTTTATTTTTTTACATTTTAAAAATAAAATTATCGAAAATCATCAATATATATAAAAAAAATAAAATATGAAACTAAATTGTTAAAGTAAATTGGATTTAGTAAACAGAACAGGAAATTAGATGTAAATAAGATTTCATGTAAATTCATAAAAAAATGATTTAGTTATTTAGAAATAAAAAAAATAGAATAAGACGGTCTATGTGATATAATAAATTTTAAAACTTTAAAAAAGGAAACTGGTAATCTTTTAAATTATAATTTGATACAAAAGGTAATAATAAAAATAAAAATATATACATAAATATATATAATAAAATTTTAGGTTTAACATATGGATGTTTAGATAAAGCAGGAAATGTAACAATATTTTACATTGATAAAAATAGATATTCAAATGTAGATGTTAAAAAAGATTCATCTAATTTAACATTTATTGGTATTTCTTAATTATATATATATAAAAAAAAAAAAAATAGAAATAAATACTGGTTATCTAGCTGTTTCGTTTGATGATTTTAGTATAGGAATATATGATATTTAAACCGGAAAATAAATTTAACATTTAAATTGGCATAAATTTTAAATAAAAAGTAAAAATACAAATATATTTATATAGAATTATATATATATATATTAAAAATAATAGATTTGTAAGTAAATCATATAACCGGATTTTTATTATCTGTAACTTCTGATAACTTAACTTTATGGAATATAAGGAATTTTTAAAGAGAAAAGTCAATATTTTGTAAAAACAGTAAATATTCATAAGGTTGTTTAGTTCATTCAGGAGAATATTTAATAGCTATTTGCTAAGTAAAAAAAATATAAAATTAAAATAAAATAAAATTAGAATGGAGATATAATGTGTTATAACAGAGATAATTTGCAATGTATAAAATAAACAAATTTAAATATAAAATTTTTGTAAAATAAATGCTATATGGATAGTTCTTTAGAGGGCCAATATATATGTATTGGTGGAGAATTCTAGTATTTGTTTGTAGCTGAAATAAAAAAATTTGAATTTGAAAGATTCTATTTACCAGATGATACAAAAAAAATAAAAAAACTAAAATTTATATCAAACTCTTTAATTACATTTCTAGCTGATAATGAAAAGATTTACATCGTTGATATTTCTAATAATGCAAGAATTGCCTTAAAATTTTAATTACCTAAAAAAGAAGTTTTTTTAAAAAATTATATAAATTTATATATATAGATATATATATATATATATATATATATATTTATATATTTATATATTTATATATATATAAATTTATAAATATAAATATATAGGGAATAATTGATTATGATATAAGTAAAGATTAAGCTAATTTTTTAGTTGTAATAAGTAGTTTAGGAGAAAAATATGTTTATAATCTCCACACATTATTAAAAAATGAAAAAACGTATAAAAATTATAAAATATATGATATATATTATTATATGTATATACTTATAAAGAATCTTAAAAGATTGTACTATAATGTAATGTGAATATTAAATTGAATATTTAAATAAATTTATTAATGAAAACCCAAATTAAGAAATAATTCACATAAATAAATCCAAAAAAACATATAATTAAAAATCTAAAAAAAAAAACTATAATTTAACTTAAAAAACTTCCTCAAATTAAGATATAATAATAATCGAAAAACTCTCATCCAACCCCTCTTAATTTATATTTTACGAAAATTAGTTAAAATCGTCTGATAATAAAACTCCAGATATAGATTTTGCTTAATTTCTGAAAAGATTTAAGTCTTTCCCTTCAGAAAGCAGACTAACAATATGGAAAAAATTGCTTAATATTCCCTAAAATCATGAAGCCTATAATAATTTATCATTTAAAGGCATTCATCCTAAATACATTAATTTGCATGAGATTTTTGACGTCCCTAAATTAAATTAATTATAAAGAATTTTATCTTCATTGGCTTACTATTGCCCTGCTTTTGAAAATGTGGAATTTCTATCTTCTTTAATTTATCCTTTTGTATAGCTTTTCGGAAAGGACGAAATTTCTTGTTTTGAAATTTCTTTAACTTTTTTAATTTAGTTTTATTAATTTTATTTTGCTTTCATTCCTAATCCACCAGTTCATTTTATTAACGCATTTTTTTAAATTATGCAATTTCATTCCTATAGTACTTTTACTTTTATAAAAAAAAACTTTCAAAATGAACATTTTATTAATTTAATTTGGAAAAATCTCACTTCAGCATTCACTGATGTTTTAAATAGATAAGACTGGCTTTCTTTGATGGATTTCCTTGTTTTAAATTCAAACAATGGGTCCCTTTGGATACACTTTTTGGTAGTTTTTTACACTCATAAGTTTAGTAATGACAAAAATAAATATAGTATGCATGAAATGCTACAATAAGCCCTTAAACAAATGCAAGAAACACCTGAAGAAATACCTAATAACATATCTTTTGAGAACAATTTGCCTTTAACAAAAAATCAGTATCCTATTTTTAATTTCTACCCTTAATTTTCGCTTGATTTACATAAAGAAATTCGCGAAGAAATCATAAGGGATGAAAATTTACAAACTGAATGTAAAAAAAGTAAAAAACAACTAGAATTCTTAACTAATCACTTAAATTAATTGCAATAAACTTTTTAGGAAAAACAAGAATAAACTTTAATTTAACTAAAAGATCATAAAAGTCTAGTTTTATACGAATAATAAATGTAATTATAACAAATTCAATAATAAAAGCTTGAAAACAGGAAATAAAGACTAGATTAATTAACTTAAATAGAACAAGAAATTTTAAATTAAATAAAAAAATTTAAAAAAACGATAAAAAAGAAGACTAAAAATACATCCAAGATTAATAAAATATAGACAATTAATTTCTTAGTAATGAATTTTAAGAATAGGCTTTTATAAACTTAGAAATGAAGACTTTAAATAGAATAAAAAACCTTAATAAGGAAAAAGAAAACCTTTAAAAATAAGAAAATGAAAAATTATTTCAAGAATATTAAAATATCGATCATATAAGAAGACAAGAATTATAAAGACTGAAAATTCTTGAATAATAAAAAATATAATAGCTAAAAGAACTCGAAAGACACCAAAAAATACTTGAAAATTAAAAATAGATATAATAAAATTAGAATAGTAGTAGTTTAGTAAGCAGTTAAAAAAAGAAATAAAATTCTGATATAGAAGATTAATAATAGTATTATTATTAAAATAATCCTTATTAAACGGTTGATTAAAGCAAATTTGAAAATTATTCATAATATGATGGAAATTATTAAAATAATGAATATAATGAATAAGGAGGCTATAGATATTAAGATACTGGATAATTAAATTCTTAAGAATAATATTAATCTGATAATAATAATAATTATTATTAAGATGATAATAATAATTATTATTAAGATGATAATAATAATTATTAAGATAACGAAGGTGATTAATAAGAAAATCAAAATAATTATTAAGATAATCAAAATAATTATTAAGACGATAATAACAATTATTAAAATGACGATTTTGATTATTAAGGTAATCATAATAATTATTAAGATTAAGATAATAATTATTAAGTTAATAACTAAAATTATGAATATAATGATTAAAATTATTAATAAGTCAATGAAAATTATTAATAAGAAAGCAAAGATTATTAAGAAGAACATAATAACAATGATAAATATAATCAATAAAAATAATATTAACATAGGAATCATTTTTAGAAATTAAGTTAGGCTTAATGTTAAGTTATTGATGAAAATCCAAATGAAGAATATTTATAAGACTCATTAAATTAGCATTATTGAAAAAACTATATATATATATATTATTTTCGTTAAAGATTTTTTATAATAAATATATACAATAAAATATATATATATATAAGAATGTATTAACTTTTATCTATATATATATATATATTATTAATTTATTTTCAATTTTTTTCTTTTGTACTTTCATCATTTTTTTTAGGTTAGAAATATTTATAAAATTAAATTGCCTATTCTTTATGAATATGGCTTACAGTTTCAGGTAATTCAGCAATAAACCTTGCTTTTTTAATTATAGAAAATTATTAAAAATATAACTTAATCTTTAATTGTATAATTTTACCTGGTTTTCCACCATAGACTGTAAAAGCAGGAATTTTTGTATCTGCAGGAATAATTGTATCATCTAAAATTTTTACATTATCACTTATAATACATCCTCTTCCCTTTTATTTAAATTATGTCTTTTATATATTTCTTTTTCAAATTTAAATATAAAATACTATAATGCAATTTTTTCCTATATGGACATATGAACCTATTTTAGAAGCCTAAACTATTGTATTTTATTCTATAAAAACATAATCTCCGATAGTAATATGTGAATATTTTAATTAACTTTATTTATAAAATATTACTTTTTTAATTTTATTTTTTGTTTAAAAAATACTTATTTTATATTATATAAGGAGGTCTTAATGTAATTCCTTCACATAAAATTAAATATTTTCCTAAAGTCATTTTTCCTAAGTCTCCTCTTACTATTATTTTTTATTACATAATTACTTTTCCGTATATAAATATATTGTCACTGCCTCTTATTAAATTTTTTTTGCCTAATTTATTTCCGGTTTGAGTTTCATAGTATTATTCAGAATTGTAAAATGTTGGTTATGGTTCCATACTATTATTTTACATTTTATTTTCGAATTAAAAAAAATATTTTTTTCACTAATAATATATTTTTAAAGATATAACTTTTGTTTTTATATTAAACGAAAAAAAAATATAGTTTTTAATAAATGAATATTGAAAAAATACTAATAAATTATAAATAAAAATAAATAAATATATAATTACAATTAATTCTAACAAAAATTTAAAAATATTATTTTATTTTTAAATATATATATAATTAAATATATTTAAATTAAATAAACATAAAAAATAAACGTAAAACTTTTTTATGAATAACAATTAAGACTCTTAATTTGATTAAATAGATTTCGACGATGACTTAATAGGTGAAAACGATATATAAAAGCTTAATAGTTTATGGAAAATAATAAAAGAAGTAAAAAATAAAAATTATAAATAGAAAAAAAATATATATATTTATATAAAAAAAGAATAAAAATATATCATCTTAAAATAGTCTAAATTATAAAAACTAAAACAATTCATATCCAAAGTATACATAATAAGAATATGAAAGTTTAAAATAATCTTCAATGTAATAATAATTTTAATAAGTTATAAAGTCGACAATTCACAATTTAAATGACAGTGAATAAAGTTTTTAAGAAAAATAAACATAAAATTCTGTATAAAAAATAGAAAATTAAAAAAATTCGAAATAAAGTATGCATTAAAATTAATTGAATATATTATAAAATTAAGAAAATGAAAAAAACTTATAAGTAAAATAGAATAAAAGTTTTTTTTTATATATATTAAAAAAAAAAAAGAATGTTGATAATTTTGATTCATTTAAAGATAATTTAATAAAATAATTTATTATACAATTAGAAGAAAATTAAAAAAAATGCGAAATTCTAATAAATGAAAACAACAATTTATATTAATAAAAAGAAGATATTAATAAATTATTAGAAAATAAAACATAAGAAAATTAACGAATAAAATAAAAAATAGAGCAAGCAGAAAAAATAATAGATGAAATGATTCTTGAATAAAACACTAAAGGTATAGTAATGTTAGAAATAGAATATTTAAAAAATGATATTGAAAAATTATTAATTATGTTAGGTTCTACAAATGAAGTTAAAAAAATAAATAAATAAATATTTATATACTTTTATTAACATAAATTAGTATAAGGATTTTTTCAAATTTGCAAAAGATAGTCGAGATATAACAAATTTAAAATATATTCCAAGAATTTCTTCTAAAAATAATAAGCAGAAGATAAAATATTAAAAGTACAAATAAACTAATAAATGCTTTGGGTTCCTAAAGATGCATTTTAATTCGCTTTAAGTTTAAAAGTTAAATATAATAATAAATTGGATGAATAATGTATTGAAGAATTACTTTTTGGTTTTAATAAAATTTTTGGGGATAGAGAGGAAAAACAAATGTAAAGATTTAAAAAATAATATATTTAATAAATACAAGCATTAAAAAATTAATTAGAGAAAAAAGAATTGTCCTATAAAAATGGTTTAAGGCCTAAAAATAATACTAAAAAAAATAAAAATAGTAATTATGAAAAAGCAACTACAAATGTTGAGAGCGTTTTACCAGAATATGATAAAAAATAAACATAAATTTTATTAACTGATGCTTCAAAACTTTAATAAGATTTCGAAAAATAAATATTACTGAAAGATAAATAAATATAAGATTTAACTTTCTAAATTTAATAATTATAAGCCGAGCATGTGAAATATGATAAACTAATTTATATTGAAGGTTCTTTAGGGATTATAGATAAAGTGACTAGAGAAGTTTAAAAATTTAAATAAATAATTATGTAAATAATTAATTAAATTAATAATTAAGTTTTTTAAAAAAATAGTGATTTATTATAATGGTATAATTATTTAATTAATAAGTTTGAGACTAATGTAGATTAACTTTTATATAAATATAAATCTATAAAAGAGAGTTCTGAGAAATAAATTAAGAAAATTTAGTACTAATAATTAACAAATACTACCTAAAATGAATCAGATAAAAATAATAATTTGGAATAAGAAAATATTTAATCTTAAATTGATTAAGAATAATATAATTATGAATTTTCAGAGTAAGATTGATTATATTTATTAATATTTTATTTAAGAATTTTTATTTATAATTTATAAATTTAAATATTAAATAAAAAAATATTTTTTTTTATTTCTAAATAAATATTTTTTACAAAGGTAATTTTATTTTTTAAGATTTAATTTCAAAATATTTTATATTATATTTTCTTTACTTTTTAAATAAAAATATTTTATTAATATATATTTATTAGTTATTATATTAATCTAATTTTAAATAAATATAATAATTTATTTATTAATTATATATTTTTATATATTTTTTTGTTAAATAAATTTCATCATTTAAAATTTTTAGTTTTTGTTTTTTTGGATGATTTATTATAATTATATATTTTATAAAGTTTTCTAATTAATTATATCAAATATAAAAATAAAAAAATGAAAATTTTTAAAAACTATTTAATATTATCTGAAATAATTATATATAAAAAAAAAAAAAAAATTTTTAATATTTTTTAACTTTAAAATAAAATAGTTAAATAAATTTTTATCTTTTGTTTATTTTTATATAAATATTTTTTTATATATAAATATTTACATTATTAATAAACAATTTTAAAATATATTTTTTCTCATCAGTTTATTAAAAAAAAATCTATTTATAATTTTTTTTTATTTAATAAATAAAATATATATATTCATTTTATATTATAAAAAAAAAGTAATAAATAAAGTATTTTTTTTTTATTATTTTATTAAAAATTCCAATTAAAAAACATTAACAATACAACATTTAATAAAAATTATATTTATTATTATTTATTAAAATAAAAATTTAATTTCTCATTTCTTTTATGTTTTTTTGGTAGCAGCAGCAGCTTTTCTACCTCCTTTTTTAGCAGCACCTTTCTTTTAAGGAGTTACCTTAGATGAACTTTTCTTTGCTGCAGCTGCTTTTTTACCAGCAGATTATTTCTTAGCAGAAGTTTATTTAGGGGTAGTGGTTTTTCCTTTAGGGGTAGTAGTTTTAGCCTTAGGGGTTATTGCTTTCACAGGAGCAGTTGTATTAGTGGAGTTTGTAGCTTGTGTTTATACTTAGACAGTTTATTTAGGGGTAGTTGATTTACTTTTACTTCTACTTTTGCTTGCACTTCTTCCTGTAGCAGCTTTTTCTAGTGGGTATCTTTTTAATTGCTATTTTTTGTTAAGATAAATAAATAAAATATTATTTTTGGTATTTTTTACCTTTTGATTTAGATTATTTAGTAGCAGTTTTAGATTAAGCTTATCCTTTTGACATTTTTTTTTATTTTTTTTTTATTTTATTATTTTTTTAATTTATTAATATTATTATTTTATTATAATTTTTTTTTTATTCTTTTTTATTTTTTTAAATTAATTAATTTTTACTAATCTTAAATTTTATTGGATATTTTTAATTATAGAAAGATTTTAAATATTATCCTAAATTTTATATCTTTATTTTTTTTAATTAGAATTTTTTATATATATGTATAATTATATATACAGTTTTAAATTATTTATTTTGCAATATAATAATTGAATTTTTTTATATTTTATTTTTTATTTTTTTTCTATATAAATAAAAAAATATTTAGAATATAATTTTTTTATTTTTTTCGAAAATTTCTCATTTATAAAAAAATTAAACAATCTCCTATTTAATTTCAATAAATAAATAATTATTAAAAAAAAAAAAAAAAGCTTAAACAATTAATATTTAACAAAAAAAATAATTTTTAATAGTAAGTTTTTTATATTTATTAAACATGAAAAAAATAGTTTTAATGTTATTTCTATTTATTTAATGATTATTGATTTTTTTGCAATTAGTTATAATTCTTTAAAATATAAATTTTATTAATATTATATTTTGATTTAGATAAAAAAAAAATATAATATAAATAAAAAATTAATGTAGTATATTTTATATATTAGAATTCATAAAAGTTTAAGCTAATTTTTGTATACTTTCAATTATTAAATTTAATATTATTATTTTTTATAATTTAATTATAAAATTAAAGTAAATTTTATTGAAAAATATAATATTAAGTAATTTAAATAAATAAAAAAATGAATAACTTAATAATATTATCCGAGAAAATAAAAAACAAAGTATTACAAAAATAAAAATACTTATTAAACTATTATTTCCTACCCAAAAAGATACTGGTTAAATTAAATATAAAATTTAATTTTAGTTTCTTAAATAAAATTTTGGATATAAAAAATTTAAAATATCTTAAATAATAATATATTATCATATTTGATGACGAAAATATTTTTTTTCTAATAATATTTTATTTAAAAAGATTCCTAATTAACACAAACAGGTTCCAGATCTTAGATTTATATAATATATATACTATATCATATTATATTTAAATGGTAAAAAATACATAAAAGAAGATAAAGTTAAAACAATAATAGCCATTCAGCTTATATAAAAATTAAGATTTAAACATGAATTTATTTTAATGGAATCAAATTATACTTTGAATTTAAATAACATATTTTCTATTAAAAAAATATAATTACAGATAGAATAACAAGAAATATATTATTATGTACACCTAAATAAGAACTATAATCTATATTTAAAAATGTAATTAACACACTAATTTATTTAAAAAAATTGATAGAAAAATAGGAAATATAAAAGTAACTTTTAAATACTTAAAAATAAAAAATAAAAAGATTAAAATCTTATCAATATAAATATATTGAATTATTTTATCGTATAAATAGAAAAAAATTATTTATTTTTTGTTAAAATTTATTTCTAATTTTTTTTTAATTAATTAATTAAGGTTAAAATTTAATTGTTTTTATTTATAATTCAATAATTCAAGCTATTTTAATCTTTAAAATTCAATTATTTATGGAATTTAATAATAATAAAATAATGGAATTAAAATGGATCTTGAGAGTATATAAGGATAACATAAACTAAAAATATTTAATATATATAATATCCTCGAAAATAAAGTAGATAAAAACACATTATTAATAGATGCTAGAAATAATAATGAGATCATTTAAAGTTTTATTTATTTATTTAAAATTCAATTAATATAAAACTCAATAATTTTTTTACGAAAAGACTTCCTTTGGTAATTTCTTAAAATTAAAAAATCATCTTTATTTTATCTTTTGATGAATAAATAAATTCTCTGTACAATTTAGTTTAATAAGCGGATATTTAAAATAATGAATCAGCTATATACTTTTTGATAAAAAAGAAATTTAAAAATATTAATTAATCTCTTCTCAACAAATAGTTACTTATGAAAATTTATTGAAAGGAGGTTAGGTTTTAGATGCTAAAAATGTTAGAGATCCCTAAATTTTTTAAAAAGGACATGTTTAAAAATCTAAAAATATGATTGTTTTTTAATTAAATAAAAAAAAACAAACAAAAAACTTTAAATTCCCTTTTATAAAGATATATTTATGCATATTGGCGGAGGAAAAAGAGCCATTTATTACTTCTTTTTTTATTTAAAAATATGAATTTAATAATATTAATATTATATGAAGATAAATTCAAAAATTTGTTAGATCAGGATGCAAACGTTATATAGAATGAACGATTTTTTGTTATAAATAATGTTTTTAAAATGAAAAAAGAATTATTCATTTGGAATGAAAAAAATATTAATTAATTAATAATATTATTTAATTTAAAATAAAAATTATATTAATACATATTTTTTAAATTAATGAATTTTGTTTTTTTTAATATTTATTTTAAATTAAAT